GCGCGGTTAGATGAGCTGTAGCATCCAATGCTTGGATGCGTTGTACAGAGCAACAATGAATGAGGCTACTGTCAAGAGGGTGGGCCTCGGTGTTGAAGATGTAGCCGCCGCTTTCCGGCTCACACAGCTGTTCAGATGACGCCCAGGTGGGCGAGGGAGAAGCTGAATTTATGCCGGAAACGCGATCTTCTGAGGGGACGGTGTGCAAAAAGTTGTCTGTGTCGAAGAGGAGGTAGAGGTACTTGGTAGTCTCGGACAAAAAGAATGACTCCATGCGATCTTCCAATCGGTGTGTGTGAACGTCAGACACCTAAAGGTAAGACCAGGGATGAGGTGAGGTCTGAATGGGCATCGAAACAAATAACAGGGAAGTTATAATCATACGTCACCCCCAACTTCCTATGCAATATAGACAATGAAGAGGGCATCAGGGTCAGCGTGACATCGCTCGTGGGAACCTCGAATCTTTCGTGTAGTCCGGCGTAATCTGCCTGTATCTGCTGACCTGAAACCCCTTACAAAGAGACCACATGCTCGCAGGAAATTCCAAGTGTCCTACGTAATAAACACGTGAAGATGAGAAATTTGGCAATTCCATATTCCCATCTGTTAGGCTTATTGCTTATTACTTAGCTACGGACACAGTTATAGGATAGAGCAATATTGGTTGATTATGGAATATATGGCTCTCCTATTAGACAAGAAGCGTCCCCTAAACTTCAAGATAGAGTTAGATACTGCAAAGTTATCCGGATAAAGGTAAATGACACGATGCGACATAAAGGCATGGTAAAACTTGAGCTATTACTTAATAAGGTTTCGTTAACTAATAAGATGACAAAGTCTGGTGGATAGAGTTAAAAGGACGGAAACCAAGGAAGCTCTGAAGTGCCCCGGGCCTCAAACATGTAGTTACTAGGAATACCATAAATCCAAATTTACACTCCTTGCTGCGATCGAGGGGATATGAGTACACGTTCTGTTAAGTCCAAGCTATAGCTAGATAACGTAGTAGGCCTATAGGTTGTCTATAGACGGCAAACTTTACGACATAAAGGCATGGTAGGATTTGTGCGATTATTTAATAACGCTTCACTTAACTCATAAACTAATTACTTTAACTCATACGGATTGGATGTGCCGACTTCTTAAAAAAAACACACAGGCAGTATTATAGTATACTATCTACTGGTCTTAGTAAGCATGATTACTAGAATTAGCACTTTAGCATAGTCAAGTACTTCTAGCAGCAGTATCATGGTCCAAATCTAACAGAAACGGACACAGCCCGGTGAATAGAATTGACAGGGTGGAAACCAAGGCAACCTCTGCTGTGCTCAGGACCCCAAACATATACTTACTCCGAATGGTTTAAACCCAGATTCCCACTCCCTGTTGAAATCAAGCGAGTATGAGTCCCAGAGTTGGCTTTAACCAGCGTCACCTCTGACAAATCGTAGCGTCAGTTTTAGTACCAGTACTACTAACGCGCAGCTACATTGCTAGCTAGCAGTTAGTAGTAGAAATAGGAGTGACCGTATCAGTCTCGGCCTCCGTGAGCCTGTCCTGACATGTACTAAGGGTGAGTGAGGGTAGGTAGTACAGTAGTACAGGCGCAGTCTACTGTCAC